AGGCAAAGAAGACACAGGGAACGGCACGGGAGGAGAGCTTGTCCGCGGACGTATCGCGGACAAAGGCTCGACATTCCCAGACTCGGAACACCGACGCATCGCCAACCTCCCCCGTCCAACGCAGGGTGAGCGAGGTCTCCAGAATAGAGACACGGGGCCAGAGGTTGAGCTGATGCGCGGCGTACTGCACTGCAAACGGCCACAGGAAATGGGGGGCAGCCGCATGGATCATGGAGGTACGAGCGACCTCCATGACAAGACCAATGCGGCGCTCAGCAACCCCATTCTGCTGCGGAGAGGCCGGGAGAGTGAACGTCTGGCGGATGCCGTGCTCCGCACAGTAGGCTGCCAAGAGGTCAGAGGAAAACTCACCACCTCTGTCAGAGTGCAGACGTAGGACAGGAAAGTTTGACTGGAACCGCTCGCGGAGCTGGAGACGAGCAGCGCGGATCCAGGGGATCAAGACATCAGGGACCTCACCCTTGGTACGCAAGGGGAAGACCGTGGTGTAGCGCGTGTAGTCGTCGACGACCAGCAGAAAGTACCGCTCGTGGCCCTGTCCCTGGACGCGGGCGGGGCCCCACACGTCCAGGTGGAGAGTCTGCAGGGGAGCCTCTGTTGGAGGGAATGAGGAAGAGTGAGGAGCAGCGTGCTGCCGCCCCTCGACACAGGGAAGACAGGGAGGAGCAGGCGAGGGTGGCAGGGGAGGGAGAACTCTGGGAAGACCAGAGACAAGGTACCTGGAGTGCATGCCGCGAAGACGCTGCACTGACGGGTGACCAAGGCGGTGGTGCCAGAGGAGAGTCCTGTGTGACAGGGAGCGACACGAGCAGGGGGCCGACAGCTATCCTGACGCAGACGCAGACGCAGACGCAGCTACCTGAGGGGACTCAGTGGTCAGTGTGTACAAGTCCGACCCCGGCTGCCGAGTGAAGGTAGCCAGGTGACAACCTGTCCGGGCACACGTGCAGTGCGTCACACACTCGTAGGCCGGGGTGAACTGGTGAACACCCGCGTCCTGGAGCGCGGAACTCGCCACCAAGTTCGTAGAGAACGAGGGGAGGTAGAGGCCCGACAGCATGCCAGACGGGACAGCAGGACAAGGGAGGGCAGTGGTGGAGGTCGCAAGGACCGGACCCCCTGAGGGGTCAGCCAGGGAGACAGCAACCGGTCTAGGGAGCTGCTCTAGGGCAGTGCGGTCGCGGAAAAAACAGCGGGAAGCACCTGAGTCCAGTGTGAAGGTGTGCAGTGCCTCAGTAGGTGCGGTACCAGCAGACGTAAACACACTAGCACCTAGGGCAGCAGCCTCACCAGGACCTAGAGCAGCAGACGCACTAGCACCTAGAGCTGCAGCCTCACTGGTCCCAATACCCTGGTCGGGCGGTACACTCAGGTAACAGTCACCCTCAACACTAATAGTCAATGCATACATAGCAGCAAGGATAGCATCATAATCAAGAGCAAATATATCAATCCCCTTCCTAAGCAGATCAGCCCAACGGGGCAGCTCAGAGGCGTCAGGGAACTGCTCGCGCCAGGCGTCGTCGAGGCGAAAGAATCAGCGCTGCGCCGTGTGAAACTTCCCACAAGTCTGGCCAGTGCGGTCACCTGTGCGGATGACGTACGGGCAGGTACCTCCACCCCCAGACCCCCCACGCTGAGAGTACCACTCACGGAGCTGCTGGGGCGACGGGGGCTCGCTGGGACGCTGCTGCTGCTGCCTCTGGCCGCCGCCGAACCCGCCACGCTGCACCGCTCCACCGCGTCCTCCACCAGCTCCACCGCCGCCACCACTGCCACCACCACCACCTCCACCTCCACCACCGCCGCCTCCAGCACCCCCGGCTCTGCCACTGCCCCCCCCACCACCAGCACCACTCCCACCACTGCCGCCACCGCCGCCGCCCCCTCCACCCCCTCCACCACCACCTCCCCCGCCTCCGCCTCCTCCACCCCGGCCCCCCTTGCCCCTGCCGCCCCTGCGCCTCTCACTGGGAGCGAACGCAGCTCCGACCCCCTCAGCACCGAGGTAGTCGACAGCAGCAGCAGATGCAATGGAGGGGAGAAGGGGGGAGGGGGAACATCCCTCAAAGAAGGGAGTGCGAGGGTCGCCACGAGAGGCACCTACAACTACAATGCTCTTCTCAGCTGCGAGGAGTTCCTTCTCGAGTAGGTCGACAGTGAGGTCTGTGGGGGAGAGAGCGAGAAAGTGGTCCCTGACAGCGCAAAGAGAGTTAGGGAGGCGAGTGACCAGGTGGTAGAGGGTGAGGTACATCGGGGGGGGTTCTTGGCTAGGAAATCGGGGGGGAGTGCGGCACGGTAGCGGAGATCACTAGTACGGAGGTGAGTGATGAGGTCAGCTACAGTGGCAAAGGCAGACAGATCGGGGAAGAGGCAGGGCAGTGAGAGACGGCCTATCGCAGCAGTGTCAGGGGAGGAGTAGCGGGCAACTACAGCGTCATACAGCTCCTTAGCGGTCTTATGCTGGCCGAAGTGCTCGCGCTCATCTAACGGCAGGTGGCTGCGAACGGCTAGGCGAGCATGGGTGTCACGAGTCTGCCACTGTGAGCGAGCAGTACTGTCAGCAGTAGCAGCAGGTGCGGGAGCAGCGCCGGACGTGTGGTCATAGAGGGAAACATCGTCCTTGGCAGTGATCTGGAGGTACAGGTGAAGGTCATCAAGCCAGACATCGAACTTAATCGGGCGGCCCTCGGCGTCAAAGGTGAGAACAGTGGGACTGGTCATAGTGGCAGTAGCAGGAGCAGCAGTAGCAGCACTAGTAGTAGCAACAGTAGTAGCAGTAGGAGCAGGAAGAGCAGTTGCTGCAGGTAGGGCGGCGCGGCTCGGTCAGGGCGGCGCGACTCGGGCGGCGCGACTCGGGCGACGCGACTCGGGCGGCGCGACTCGAGCGGCGCGGCTCGGGTAGGTATGGCGGCGCGACGGCGGGCCTATGCTCGGTGCGCGGCGGCGCCTAGGGTGCGGCTGCGCGCGGGCCGCGGCTGCGTTCGAGCGGCGGCTAAGCGCTAGCTGCAGCAGCCGACGCGCGATCGCCGCGGCGCGCTGGCTGCGACCTGCGGGCGGGCGGCTGTGGGTCGCGCGTCGGCCTAGGGGCGAGCGGGGCCTACGGGCGACGGCCTGCTGGGGCTCGCGAGAAAAAATCGGGCCGCCCTAGGCGGCGAATTTCCTACGCGCGCTAAAACGGCGGGGCCGCGCTCGGGCTGCTAGCGGGCTGCACACGGGCAGCGTGAGAGGAGAGCGCACGAGGGCGCACTAGAGGAGAGGCGCACGAGGGCGCTAAAAAAAAAAGGGGGGGCGCACGAGGGCACCTCTAGCGGAACGGTGGGCCCTTAGGTCTAGAACCTAAGCTCTTAATTCCATGTCAGAAACAAGAAGTCGTGAACTAGAAAGTTGTTGGAGTACAAGTAGGAAACCCTAGTGAAATGTACCCCCTAAAGGCTAACCCACTATAGCCTACACAACAGAAACATATATAATGTTTGACAGCGTGGCGACGTCACAATGACTCGCCACCAGTCCATGGCGGGGCCCCTCAGCAGCGAGACGGCATATCGGATCTTCGCTGCGTCCGACTCAACGTAATTCGCATCGAAGAAGACGTTCATCGTGAAGACCCACGATTGAACCGTCGGACCTCCACGCTGGCTCGGGTCGAAACAGGGCGGGCGATGCGGCTTGAGTGGCATTGGTGCCATAATGGCCTGTTCGCCGCTTGTCGCCGCGAACTCCACGTGCCGACGGGCTTCACGAGGCTCCCGCGGGCTTGGCGCGACCCTGTTTCCTCCCATGCCAGGCATCGGCTGGGCGGCGCCATCACTGGCTGCGCCTTAGCGCTGTCCACGCTGTCGTGTTGTGTTGGTGTGCCGGACGAAATGACGATCGGCTCGTCCGATTGTGCAGATGCATTTGTCGCTGCATGTGGTGGCGCTGGAGTGTTCACCGTGGATTGCTGACGCGCGGAGTCACGTTCCGCCGTGAGCGTCAAAATTTCGAGCGCCGATTCTTCAACTTGGCGCACCAGACGGTCAAGCTGCTCCTGCGTCAACGTTGCGAGCGTGAATTCGGCCATGGCGGGGGTGTCGGGCAAGCTCAGCGAGAGCCTCTGTCGTGGCCGTGCGTGCTTACGAGAGAGCACTACGAGCGGCGGTGCTGTGTCGCTGAGAGACGTCTACCCCCCCCAAAAACTGAGATAGTGAGGAAGCGAAGGTGTGGGTGCAGTCCGAGAAGAGATCGTAGGCTCTGAATACCAAGTGTTACGAGTGTAATTGAGTGAGCGAGCGAGAATTGCACTATCGAAGCAAGAGTACAATGAGCGAAGGCATGAGCGAAGAATATATAGCGAAACTACAGTGGTAACGGTAATGAACTGTGGTTGTCGCGCGACGGGCTTGGGACTGAGGTTTGGGGAATTGTCGAAGCGGAGGCCCGGAGCGCGGGTTACCCGCCGAGCCGTGAGGTCGGGATGCGACGTGCGAAGGTGGCGGGAGGATTGTCGATGCAATGGTTGCGAGTGGTAACGGTGCTGACTGTGGTGCTACAGTGGTGTACGCGCTGAACGGGGACGCGAAGTAAGGAAAAGGATTTTTCCTTACACCTGTGCAACTTGCATCATATATTGCACAACACTTTCTAGGTTTGCATACTTGTTCCTTCCCATCCCATCTCCTAGTCACAGTCATTCCACTGTTCTACTTAACACCATTGTACACCACCACCACCACCACCCCAACATCAATCCTCACGTTACAGCAATTCTGTTTGTATTATTGCAAATCATCTTCAGAAGATGAGAACGGCTGCAAACTGGTCATAGGCCATGTGTCTGAAACATCATGTGCACAAGACTGCATGAACCAAACGAACAGAAAACAGAGAAATACTTATTAGTAAATAAAAAATTCCTTCAACAGGATGATGGGATGCAAGTGTGAGGGATGGGAAAAATAAAACAAAGAGGACTGTAATAGAAAGCTGAATAAGGGTCAACACTGTACCTGCCCTTGTGCTCGGAAGTACATGAACGGGGTGTAGCGCAAGAAGTTGGAAACTCTTGAGGTGTAGATGTCAGCATATCTGACGCAGGAAAGAGCACAAATAGAAATTACAAAAGAGCATAAAGCAGTAAAAGGAAAAGGAAGCAACATGAGTATGATGTACTTATGAAAGCAGAACGGCAGTGATGCAGTTCTAGTATCTTGCAGGATAATCTACCAACTCACTTCTCTATTTGCCGGGTAATGTGGCTCTTATCCCAAAGTCCAGCTCGAGAGAGGTATCCCCATCTGGCCATACACAGACAAAAAGGTTGCCATATGAAGGAAAGAGAGGGTGAACAATGAGACGTCTTATAAGGTGCGTTTCGCGCAAGGGAGCAATCTCCCCATCAAGCCGCGCCATGATCCACAGCAGCCGCTGCATGCTCCTCACCAGCTCCCCGTCCCAGGTGAGGGGGAATCAGAACTACTACACCTTTCAACCGCACTGAACCCAGCACCACACCCACCTATCATTAAATGCAGCCCCGTCCGTTTCGAGCAAGGGAGCAATCTCCCCATCAAGCCTCGCCATGATCCACAGCAGCCGCTGCATGCTCCTCACCAGCTCCCCATCTTCCATCTCCCCCACCGCTGCCGTCTGCGCCGCCTGCCCCTGTGTACGCCGCTGCAGCGCCAGCCTCAGCTGGTTGAAGCAGTCTCCGACTCGGTCCTTCTGAGCCATCAGGTCAATCAACCGGAGCCTTGTGTCGTGGCCCTGAATCAATGCTTCAACCTGAGACAGTGTGGCAGGTAATGAGAAGTTAGGGGAAAATTGTTACTCCCTGTGTGCGCTGCTGCAGGGCAAGCCTCAGCTGGTTAAAACAGTCTCCCACGCGGTCCTTCTGAGCCATCAAATCATTATGAGTCTCAGCCTTGTGTCATGGCCTTGAATTAGGGCCTCAACCTGTGAAAGTGCACAAGAAAAGGGATGGGCTGATCTGAGCTTATGTGCCATCGTCCTCCTAAGAGCCGCTGCAGGGCGAGTCTTAGCTGGTTGAAGCAGTCTCCCACACGGTCCTTCTGAGCCATCAGATCAGGTCGATGAGTCTCAGCCTCGTGTCGTGCCCTTGATCAGGGCCTCAACCTGTGAAAGTGGCAAAGAAAAGGGATGGGTTGGTATGAGATCAAGTGCCATTGACTAACAGCCTCTGCAGGGCGAGCCTCAGCTGGGTGAAGCAGTCCCCCGCCCTTCTGAGGTGTGTTTTGAGGCGCCTCGAAAAGGTGTGTTTTGAGGCGCCTCAAAAGACACCTCTATGAGATCAAGTGCCATTGACTAACAGCCTCTGCAGGGCCAGCCTCAGCTGGTTGAAGCAGTCCCCAGTCCTTCTGAGCCATCAGGTCTATCAGTCTGAGCCTTGTGTCGTGCCCTTGGATCAGAGCTTCAACCTGAGAGGAAGGAGGAGGGTCACAACAATCATAAGCATCATTCCCCACCACGAGCCTTTGCAGGGCGAGCCTCAGCTGGTTGAAGCAGTCCCCAGTCCTTCTGAGCCATCAGGTCTATCAGTCTGAGCCTTGTGTCGTGCCCTTGGATCAGAGCTTCAACCTGAGAGGAAGGAGGAGGGTCACAACAATCATAAGCATCATTCCCCACCACGAGCCTTTGCAGGGCGAGCCTCAGCTGGTTGAAGCCGTCTCCCACACGGTCCTTCTGAGCCATCAGTCTGAGCCTCATGTCGTGCCCTTGGATTAAGGCCTCCACCTGGGAGGGTGGGACAAAAGAGAGATGGGTTGGTGAGAGTTAGAGTGCCACCCCCCACCAGCCTCTGCTGGGCGAGCCTCAGCTGGTTGAAGCAGTCCCCCACTCGGTCCTTGTGAGCCATCAGATCTATGAGTCTAAGCATCGTGTCATGCCTTCGGATCAGAGCTTTAACCTGTGGAATTGCCTTAGAGTCAACTCAAAAGCATCGTGTCATGCCTTCGGATCAGAGCTTTAACCTGTGGAATTGCCTTAGAGTCAACTCAAAAGCATCGTGTCATGCCTTTGGATCAGAGCTTTAATTTGTGGAATTGCATTAGAGTCGACTCAAAAGCATCCTGTCATGCCCTCGAATCAGAGCCTCAACATGTCAAATTGGGCCATGATAGGCACACATATAACGCCGCATGGATACAGAACAGCAGCTGCCTGAGACAGGTGCGACATCACAAGTGCTTATCAGTCTTTAAGCACGCATGCACGCACGCACGCACGCACGCACGCACGCACGCACGCACGCACGCACGCACGCACGCACGCACACACGCACGCACGCACGCACGCACGCACACACACACACACACACTCACACTCACACTCCCCCTCAGTCGTGCGCACCTCTTGCCCCAGCTTGCGGCACACAAGGCACGTGCGCCAGCGCAGGTGCAACTTCGACTGCGACACATCCGTGTAGATGTGATCGCCCACATAGAGTGTCTCGTCCCCTCCTGTGGACCCCTTTGAATCCCTCTTGACCACCATGAACCCCTTTTAACCCCTGTGAACCCCTGTGAGCTCCTTTTACCCCCTTTCAACCACTGTGAACCCCAGAGACACAGGAGCGCACCTCTTGCTCGAGCTCGCGGCACACGAGGCACGTGCGCCATCGCAGGTGCAGCTTGGGTATAGATGTTGTCTCCCACATAGTGTGTTTCGTCCCCTGTGAACTGCAGTGAACCCTTGTGAGCCCCTGTGAACCCCTGTGAGCCCCTGTGAACCCCTGTGAGCCCCTGTGAACCCCTGTGAACCCTTGTGAACCCCAGAGACACATACACACACACATACCTCTTGCTCGAGCTCGCGGCACACGAGGCACGTGCGCCAGCGCAGGTGCAGCTTGGATTGCGACACGTCCATGTAGATGTGGTCTCCCGCGTACAGTGTTTCATCCCCTGCAAACCCCTAGGAACCCCTGTGAACCCCCGTGAACCCCTGTGAACCCCTGTGAACACCAGAGGCACACACACACACACACACACACACACACACACACACACACACACACACACACACACACACACACACACACACACACACACACACACACACACACACACACACACACACACACACCTCTTGCTCGAGCTCGCGGCACACGAGGCAGGTGCGCCAGCGCAGGTGCAGCTTGGATTGCGACACGTCCGTGTAGATGTGGTCTCCCACGTACAGCGTCTCGTCCCCTGCGAATCCAAGGGCTTTTTCGACCATCTGAGCGCTGCCTCCGCAGTAGAGCCCTCCTGGGAAGAGGGAGAACGTGAGAAATGAACAGGGGCAGAAAGGGGATGAACGAAGGGGTTCTGTGTAGATGTGGTCGCCCATGTACAACGTCTCATCCCCTGTGAATCCCAGGGCTTTCTCAACCATCTGAGGCGCTGCCCCCATAGTAAAGACCTGCTGGGAAGAGGGGAAGGACAGAGGGGAGAAGGGGAGTGAACGAGGGTCCACACAGCATCTCAACAAATTCTAATGCTTTTCGACCGTTTGAGAGCTCCCTCAGCAGTATAGACCTTCTGGAAGGAGAAAAATGGCTGAGAGGAGAAGGAGAATGAAAGAGGAAAACGAAGGACGGGGAGGAGGGGAATGATAAATGTGGGAAATTGAAGGTTTGACCAGTAAATCATCTGACCACTATGTCACATACTGATGTTCTATGTGCGGCACACCACCATCCTATCACAGTACAAACCTAAAATGGTCCTTGAATTTTTGTGGCACCTCAAAAGCCAATCACAATAAATGTCTCTGGATGAATGCAGCAGTATTTAGAAAGTTATGAGCCTTGTTGCGCTTGCTAAATTCTGCGCTGCCCTACCCAGTATCCATGCAGCTGCACCACTTGATCCAACAGCTCCTGCGGCACCGGCTCCCTCCTACGCCGATGAGGCCCGATCAGAGCCGTACGCACCAGAGCGTTCCACTTGTTCTGACGTGTGCAAGGCGTTTTTGAGGCGGTGATATGTAAAAAGGAGATGATGTATATGAAGGGGAGTAAAACGACACAAGTGTGAAAAAAGAGCTTGTCAAATGAGCTCCGAGGAAGTTGGAACTCAATTGACAAGCTCTTTTTCAGACTTGTGTTGTTTTACTCCCTTTCGTGTGCATCATCTCCTTTTTTCGTATCACCGTCTCAAAAACCTCTTGCACACGTCAGAACAAGTGGAACGCTCTGGTGCGTACAGCTCAGATCCAGCCACATCAGCGCAGGAGGGAGCCGGTGTCATAGGAGATGTTGGATCAAGTGGCGCAACTGCAGGAGTACTGGGAAGAGCAACGCAGAATCCAAGAAGAGAATCAAGGTCCATATCCTCCAAACTACAACCACTTTTATCAATAGTCATCTATTATAACTGACTTATGAGCAGGCACGTACCGGGATTGGCCTTGAAGCACGGTCGCATGAGCCCATCAGGCGTCACGATCTCATACAGTGGGTGAGCCATGGAGAAGAACTCGGGCTTGCGAGCCGACACGATCACCTGGTGGGGGTGTGGGGGGATGGGGGATGGCAATGAGGGATGGGCGTGAGGTGGGTCAGTGATTGGCTGATGTCACGATCTCATACAGCGGGTGGGCCATGGAGAAAAACTCAGGCTTGCGAGCTGACACGATCACCTGGGAGGGGTGGGGGGGAGTACGGAATGGGCGGAAAGGGAGAAGGGAACTGGTGATGAAAGGAAGAACAGGGATTGCTGTTTGTTAGATGTCATGATCTCGTACAGTGGGTGAGCCATGGAAAAGAACCCGGGCTTGCGAGCCGACACGACCACCTGAAATGGGTGGGGGGATACGGAATGGGCGGAAAGACCGCCACGTCATCTCTTCTGGTAAGAAGCGGTCGAAAGCATTGGTCATCATGTGGTGGGTGTACTGATAGTCCGAGTTGGTGAGCAACAGCAGTCGCTTCGCTTTTCCAGCAAATTGGGAAAATTTGTCAGGGAGAACTTACCATGTCAAAAAGGGACCGCCAGGTCATTTTTTCAGGCAGAAACCGATCAAACGCATGGGTCATCATGCAGTGAGTGTACTGATAGTCCAAATTGGTGATCAGCAGCAGCAGCAGCAGCAGCATGATCCTAGACACAACCTGCTTGTCTGGAAAGGAAGTTGGTACCACTTACCACGTCAAACAGTGACCGCCACGTCATCTCTTCAGGCAGAAACCGATCAAACGCATGGGTCATCATGCGGTGGGTGTACTGACAGTCCGAGTTGGTGATGAGCAGCAGCCTCTTCAGAAGCAGTAGTGATCAGCGCCTTACTTTGCTAGTGATATGCTTTCATACGGAGAGAACTCACCATGTCAAAGAGAGACCGCCACGTCATCTCTTCAGGCAGAAACCGATCAAACGCATGGGTCATCATGCGGTGGGTGTACTGATAGTCCGAGTTGGTGATCAGCAGTAGCCTCTTCCCCGCCAGCTTTTGGTCTAGGAGAGCCAAGGGAAGTTCAGGATCCAGTTCCACAAACTTCTCCGGTGAGTTGATAATTTCAGCCTGAGGGGGAGTGTGGGGTTGGGAGGATGGATGGGTGGGCGTGGGCCAGCAAGCACGGGGGTTGGGAGTTGGTGATGAGCAGCAGCAGCCTCTTCCCTGCCAGCTTCTGGTCTAAGAAAGCCAAGGATAGCTCTGGATCGAGCTCCACAAACTTCTCAGGTGAGTTGATGATCTCCGCCTGTGGGGGAACGGGTGCGAGGGAGGATGGACAGGGGTGAGAGGGAGAATGGGCAGGCGTGGGAGTTAGTGATGAGCAGCAGCCGCTTCCCTGCCAGCTTTTGGTCTAGGAGAGCCAAGGGAAGCTTCGGATCCAGCTCGACGAACTATTCAGGCGAGTTGATGATCTCAGCCTGTAAAGGAGGTGGGGGAAGGCATGAGCATGTATTAATGGGATTCAGATGGGTTTAGACGTGCTTCTGGTCAAGGAGAGTTGGAGACGGCTCCAGGTCCAGTTCCCTGGCGAGTTGATGATCTCCGCATGTGGGAAAAGGGATCAGGGGATCGAGAAGCAAGCGGTGAGGGTGAGAAACGAACAACCCTAGCCTTTCAAAGAACACCCATATCGAAAATACTCACACCTCAAAACACCCTTCACGTGTGCTAGGAAAAGAGCCACCGCACCCCTTGTTGGTAAACCACACCCTTGTTGGTAGCCTCAAAACACCCTTCACGTGTGCTATACACATGCATGATCCCCACCCCCTCAAGTCCACTTGCCGTACCTTGAGCTGCCCCTCTACGTGGGCTCTGAAGAGAGCTCTTGCCACCACCTGAGGGCGGCAGCAGGAGAAGAGGGAGGAGGAGAGGAAGGAGAGGTGGTTTCAGCTGAGAGAGTAGGGATTGCATTGAGGCAAGGCGCAAAAAAAAAAAAGCGATTCAGTCGGCGAAGCAAATTAGGTCATTTCACACAGCTGTAGCAAAAAAAAACGGTAAAGCAGGGCATTTTACACAATGAGCCTTCTTCAAGAGTGTCACCAACAAATAGACAGCTGAGAGCGGGACAGTATGAAAATGACCCCTTCTAACAAATTACCTTATAACGACTCACCTTGTAAAGGGTCTTGTAATCGCCAGGAGCCACTTCCGCTGGAAGCATCCCCTGGTCAAGGCGGTCAACCATCTGCATGTAGACCACCTTATGGAGAGGTACCTTATCTGCAGGACAAGGCATCTATAACGACTCACCGAGTAAAGGGTCTTGTAGTCCCCTGGTGCCACCTCAGCGGGCAGCAGCCCCTGGTCAAGGCGGTCAACCATCTGCATGTAGACCACCGCCTCGCTCACACTGAACAGTGTATTCAGAAACTCCCACCTGCCTTCATTCCTCAGGTCTACCAATTCACGGCCGTACAGCTTGCTGTTGGGAGTGGTGGGAGCAGGAAAACACAGAACAGGAAAACAAGGACGGAAAGAGGGGTCAAGGCGGTGAACCATCTGCATGTAGACCACGGCCTCGCTCGCACTGAAGAGTGTGTTCAGAAACGAAGGAGGAGATGGAGGGAAGGCCGTGAACCATCTGCATGTAGACCACGGCCTCGCTCACACTGAAGAGTGTGTTCAGAAACTCCCACCTTCCCTCGTTCCTCAAGTCGACCAACTCCCGACCGTACAGCTTGCTGGGGGAAGCACAGAGGGGAAGTGGAGGAGGAAAGGAGGGTCACACAGTGAACCATCTGCATGCACACCACCGCCTCGCTCGCTCGCACTGAAGAGCGTGTTGAGAAACTCCCACCTGCCTTCGTTCCTCAAATCCACCAACTCCCTTCCATACAGCTTGCTGGGGGAAGCACAGAGGGGAAGTGGAGGAGGAAAGGAGGGTCACACAGTGAACCATCTGCATGCACACCACCGCCTCGCTCGCTCGCACTGAAGAGCGTGTTGAGAAACTCCCACCTTCCCTCATTTCTTAGACCCACCAGCTCCCTGCCATATAGCCTGCTGGAGCGCAGAAGAGGGAAGCAATCACGGAGGAGTAGAAGGGAAGGCGGTGAACCATCTGCATGTACACCACGGCCTCGCTCATGCTGAAGAGCGTATTAAGTCTGGCGAATGATGTTGAATGGGAGTTTGGCGACAAGTGGGGCAGTTAAGTCAGCAGGGCCAAGGCGGTGAACCATGTGCCTGTACGCCACGGCCGCTGGGGGAAGGACAGAGGGGAAGTGGAGGAGGAAAGTAGGGTCACACAGTGAACCATCTGCATGTACACCACCGCCTCGCTCGCTCACACTGAGTGTGTTTAGGAACTCCTAGCACCCCTTTTGTCTTAAATCCGAACTCCCTGCCTGCCATGAGCTTGCTGAGTGAACTGAAAAAACAGCAGCCCTCCTTTCGAACCGTCCTAAAAGGCGGGACATACAAAAGGGGCTTCAATGAGGAAACGCGTGGCAGGCAGGAGGTCAACCATCAGGAGGTCAACCATCAACAGGAAGAAAAGACTGGCCCATAGTTGATTCATAATTCGTTTTGAGTCGACTCAAAAAAGGGGCTTCAATGAGGAAACGCGTGGCAGGAGGTCAACCATCAGGAGGTCAACCATCAGGAGGTCAACCATCAGGAGGTCAACCAGCAGGAGGTCAACCATCAGGAGGTCAACCATCAGGAGGTCAACCATCAGGAGGTCAACCATCAGGAGGTCAACCATCAGGAGGTCAACCATCAGGAGGTCAACCATCATGAGGTCAACCATCAGGCGGTCAACCATCAGGAGGTCAACCATCAGGAGGAAGAAAAGACTGGCCCACAGTTCATTGATTCATAATTCGTTTGCAGCATTCAAATTGTCTTGAACTAATGGCCTAATGGACAGCATCTCAGTGCCGGGCATGGCTCGCTTGACACGTGCCTCACTCCACGTGATGAACAGCATCTCTCTGCTCACCCACCTGATGGCCTTGTTGGAGAGCATCTCAGTGCCGTGCATGGCGCGCTTCACGAACCCAAACCGGTCGCACTTCACCAGGTTGCCGCTCGCCTTGTCCATCACCAACCCTCGGATCACCAGGTCCGGGTCGAACCTCAGCTCCTCGGTCGGGTATCCCTTGGCTCGGAGGTTCTCCATGGCATAGTCGTAGGCTCGGCCTTCCCAGGCCTGGACGGGGAAAGAGGTTCAGAAAAGAGGCCAAGGGCTTGGTTCAGTAAGTCCTGATTACTACTGGGGAGAAAGGGGGGATGTACAAACGCTCACATTCTTCTAGTGTGTCGGAATGTACACTACGCCATATTTTAGGGTCCTTGCCCCTTGGTCGGGTACCCCTTGGCAGAGGCTCAGGTGTACGCTCTGCTCTGGGCCGCGTGTAGCGAGGGTGTTTTTGAGACGTCTCAAAAACACCCTCGCTACTCGGAGGCTCAGGTGTATGCTCTGCTCTGGGCCCTTGCCCTGCCTTCATGTAGAAATGAATGTCGTACCCCAGCAGCATTGGTACTTACGTTAACATTATACTGAATCAGAGTGTAGTCCATGTCATACTCTATAATAGTGCTTACATTGACGTTATAGTAAATCAGAGTGCAGCCCATGTCATACTCGATAAGAGTGCTTACATTGACGTTATAGTGAATCAGAGTGTAGTCCATGTCATATCCGATGGTCGTGATCGATCGCAGGTTGAGAGTGCGGCTGCAGAAGATGCCGCGGGACGCCAGCCCATGCGGGAACTGGGGCTGGAGAGAAAAACGGCAAGGAAAGGAGGGGGGGATGGAGGAAGGAAGGGACGTGTGCAGGGACGGAAACAGAAAGGGAGGTCATTTTGCAAGTTGAGAATGCGGCTGCAGAAGATGCCGCGCGATGCCAGCCCATGGGGGAACTGTGGGGGCTGGAGAGGAAAAAAGCGGGTGGGGAGCGGGGAGGGACGGATGAAGGGCGTGTGCAGAGACGGGGATAAGAAGGTTGGGAGTGCGGCTGCAGAAGAAGCCGCGCCTTTGCAAGCTCCCCCATGAGCACCACACACACTGAGCTCCCCCATGAGCACCACACACACTGAGCTCCCCCATGAGCACCACACACACTGAGCTCCCCCATGAGCACCACACACACTGAGCTCCCCCATGAGCACCACACACACTGAGCTCCCCCATGAGCACCACACACACTGAGCTCCCCCATGAGCACCACACACACTGAGCTCCCCCATGAGCACCACACACACTGAGCTCCCCCATGAGCACCACACACACTGAGCTCCCCCATGAGCACCACACACACTGACTGAGCTCCCCCATGAGCACCACACACACTGAGCTCCCCCATGAGCACCACACACACTGAGCTCCCCCATGAGCACCACACACACTGAGCTCCCCCATGAGCACCACACACACTGAGCTCCCCCATGAGCACCACACACACTGAGCTCCCCCATGAGCACCACACACACTGAGCTCCCCCATGAGCACCACACACACTGAGCTCCCCCATGAGCACCACACACACTGAGCTCTCCCATGAGCACCACACACACTGAGCTCCCCCATGAGCACCACACACACTGAGCTCCCCCATGAGCACCACACACACTGAGCTCCGCCTTTTCCGCTCGTAAGTCACCGCACAAGGTGACTTTTGAGTCCACTCAAAAGTCACACACACTGCCTCACAGTCACTCTGTTCCAGACAGGAGGACGCATAGCCTGCGGTCACAGTCACAGAAACAGTACTCACAGGCACACCCAGCTGCTCAAGAAGCATCTCAGCCTCGTCAGCCTCTGCCTTGGCAAGCTCCTCATACAGTCACAAACAATACCATGCTTCCTTACAGTCACAATGACCCACAGTCACAATCACTCACAGGCACACCCAGTTGCTCAAGAAGCATCTCAGCCTCGTCAGCCTCTGCCTTGGCAAGCTCCTCTATCGGCCCCTCGTCCGCCTGTAATTCCAGGTCAAACGCCCGCCGCCCCTCGTTCTCTGATGGAAGAGCGGGGGAATAAGGGAAGAATGGGGGGGAGAGAAACGGCCTCGTCAGCCTCCGCCTTGGCAAGCTCCTCTATCAGCCCCTCGTCTGCCTGTAATTCCAGGTCAAAGGCGTGCCGCCCCTCGTTCTCTGGTGGGGGGGTGGAGAATGGGGGGAAAGAAACGGAAGTGAGTGTCTTCATCAGCCTCAGCCTCGTCAGCCTCTGCCCTGGCAAGCTCCTCTATCGGCCCCTCGTCCGCCTGTAAGTCCAGGCCAAACGCCCCCCGCCCCTTTGTTGGAAGAGGGGGAGAATGAGGGAGGAATGGGGGAAAAAACGGTCTCGTCAGCCTCTGCCTTGGCAAGCTCCTCTATCGGCCCCTCGTCTGCCTATAATTCCAGGTCAAAGGCGTGCCGCCCCTCGTTCTCTGGTGGTGGGAGGCAGGGGGGAGATAAGGGGGAGAATGGGGGGGAAAGGAGCGGCCTCATCAGCCTCTGCCTTGGCGAGCTCCTCTATCGGCCCCTCGTCTGCCTGCAATTCCAGGTAAAAGGCGCGCCGCCCCTCGTTCTTTGTTGGAAGAGGGGGAGAATGGGGAAAGAATGGGGGAGGATTGGGGAAGACACGGGCTCATCAGCCTCTGCCTTGGCGACCTCCTCTATTGGCCCCTCGTCCGCCTGCAATTCCAGGTCTAAGGCCCGCCGCCCCTCGTTCTCTGATGGGCGGGAGAGACGCGGGGAAGGGAAGGAGAACGTAAGGGACGGGGGAGGAAAGAGAAACTGGAGGAGAGCTACCTCATCGGTCTCTGCCTTGGCGAGTTTCTCGAAAAGCCCCTCGTTCCCTCGTGGGGAAGAGATGTGTATGGAGGAGGAAGAAAGAGGGAGGGCCGAGACTGAAAAAGTGTGTTGTAGGCAATATAAATGTCCAGACCAAATAAATAATTCCCCCCTTCCACTTTTAGCTAATAGAGTTTCTTTTATCTTCTCTTACCGAGGTCGACAGGTAGATCGGGAAGCACCATATCCCCCTTAGTGCTCTCCCCGAGATAGTCTATCTTGCTGTCTCTGGATGACCAGACAACACGGAACACCTCCTCTCCTCCACTCTCGCTCCCGCTGCCATCGCCTTCCCCCTCTGATCCGCTCCAAGCTTTCTCTCCCCCTCCTGCCCTTCCTCCTACTGTCACTTTCTTTCCTTTCACAGTTATCCCCCTTTTAGTCCCCTTCGTTACTGTCACGCTCGCCTGTGGCTCAGCTACAGCTGCAGACGCAACGCTTGCATTTCCGATACCGCTCTCTTCCGCTCCTCCCTTCGCCAATTCCCCAGCCGCATCTCCCGCCGCGTTTCCCGGCGATTTCTGGAGGAGCTCGCTCTCGAGCAGCGCAGCGGCGGCTGCGGCGCGCGCCTCGTCCACGTCACCCTCCGGAAGCGCCTCTTCCGAGACGCTCATCAGCGCCATCTGAGCTGCCACGGTGGCAGGGTCACCCGCCACGTCAGGCGCTGCTGCTTCGGCAGTTTCCCCTCCATCCGCGTTAGTAGCACTCGCAGCCCGAAAGACCCTGCTTGCGTAATTCACGCTAGAGGAGGAAGAGAAGGATTGTCTGCTAATGCCGGAAATAGAACGAAGCGCGTGACGACGAGTTGTGAAAGTTAGCAGTGAATTCTGCTGCAGCAACGAAGATGCGCTGATTGGCTGCGAAATGCTTGAAGTTTCACAACATTCTGGTTTCGATACGGAAGCAGAAATGACTGGAACGTTGCGACAAGGCAGGGTGATCAGGCGATCCATGGCGCCAACGCTGGACACGCGAGTGAGTCTAGACCGAATGGTAAAAAAGAACGGTCCCAATAACTGAAATGCCTGTCTAGAGAAAGCCCATGATCAAGACTACTGCAGGAGCAATAATGGGAATTCTAGTAAAGGAAACGTCCAGCACAAACACACTACTGGTTCTGGCCAATGGAACAAGCAAATGACAGTGACAGTTCCTCGGGATTCCCAAATGTTTGGCGTTGAAAGTACCGTACAGTAGACTGGGAGGTATGTACATGCATGACTATTACCTACCGAAGTGACCCATAGCGCAGCAAGGTTTACAGCGCGTTCACACGAAGACAGTTTCAAGTCACCTCAGTAGGGCCCTGTTCGGTAGCCTTCCAGTCACACTGGGCCCACTCGAACTGGGGAAGCCTACGACATGTTTCGTAGCCTCGGGCATCCACTCACACTGAAAGGAAGTCTCGTTCCCAAATGCAAGAAGTTACCGTATGTTTCTTGGGAAATTACTTGCCGAAACTTTTACAGCTGTTCGAGGCTGCCCCAACCACAAACAGAAAATCAGTCCGCCAAATGAAATGCCGTCGATATGGAAAAAGAAAATCAGGAACGGGCACGATCTCTCATCGTTTGAAAGAGCGTGCTAAAAAACCTTAATTTGACCCGATTCGAAACTAGTGCAGCGTATACCCTCCAGTCTGCCATTCTGAGCGGGCCTGCCTGGGTTGAACTGGAAAGCTGAAATGGGAGGGACTTCCACTGACTGTCGAGTTTGCCTGGGCGCGACAGTTTCGTGGTAGTATCCTCACACGCAGTTGAAGTGGGGTTTTTATGCCTTCGGTAGCCCAGTTGCACTGGACAGGCTCGGTGTTCTAATAACGGTTTGTTGGGTTTTAATTGATTTGAATTTAGGAAACAGAAGATCCCACGCACCAACCACAGTACGACTGGGAAGGCTACCAAACAGGGCCTAGGTTTCCAGAAGGACGCTGTTGTGTGGAGGGTTCTCTTCTGCAAAAATCAAGATCACTTGTGCTTTAAAGCCGGCGGCCCAAATTGTTCATGCTTTTAAAGCCAGGATCTCAAGTAGTTTGGCTGTTTTGCAGTTAGTGAATTGTGTTAGGCTGTGATTGGTTGACGAGGTAGAGTAGTTGACGAGAGCTGAAACGAGGGATGCGAAGCAAACAAAAATCGCAGTGAACTTCCGAACCAACTAAGGCACGGAAATCTGGTTGGGTTCCGAAGCTCATTTCCCAGCAATGTGTCTCACTTGCCGAAAAATCTCATGCACAGCAATTTGTTTTGCAATTGAGATTCACGGTCAAATCGGGGATCAGTCGCACACTGAACCTCCAACCCAACCACTCGATTTCGCCTAAACAAACAGGGTAACTCGAGCTGCAAGTGTTTTGCAATTGAAGCCAATTTCTCTTACTTGAGATCCTGGCTTTAAAAGTTGACCAGAGGGAGTTTTTCTGGTGTGGGCTTTGGCGAGAGTTTCCGATTTCGTCTAGGTTCGTTTTTTTCGCGAGACCCAGCCAACCCTCGGTTTTCCCCCTGGTGAGTGAATCTGTCTTCGAAAGTCCCAAATTGCAAGTGCGTGACTTTCAAAAGCTTGGACACTCAACTTCGTCAAGTTTTAAAAACTTGACCCTCGCGGCCCGCAATTTGGGACGCGGGCTTTAACTGTCTTCCAAAACTCTAAACGCGGGACTGTTTCGAACTCATGTTTCTGCAAAAAGGGCCAGGGAGTGCGGGAGTCTCGAAAAATTGTTGGGCCCTCGAATATTCGCTGCCCATTTTCCAAACGACAACCAATCGGCTGACTTCAACCGCGAGAATTGGCCAATCACTAGTGGCCAAAATATTTTTCGCGATCAGAGCATGCATCGCCCATTTGACCGTTGGAGGTTGACCGAGGTCAAGATTAGATGCCTGGCGTCCGGATGTACCGATAGTTATCACGGCGTAACCACCCCTACCGTTCACAACGCTAAGTATATCTCCAGGGACCGACTGCAACTCTCGGCGATCAGACTTCTTCCGCCCCCGTCAATTTCCAGTTTTGGAGAAAGGGGTTGCAAACTGATCTTGACAACAAGTGTAGCAAATTAATACAAGTGGATTTACAACCAAGAAATATTAGAAAACACAATAGACGTCATGCTCAGCCCTTCAGCTGTAACAGCAAATGAAGCAGGCACGTCTGCGAAGCTCTGTGATGCCACCAGTGAAGCATCTTCAGTCGTAGACGTCCGCCACATCTCCATTTTACACTGACTTAGTGGGTCAAAGAGCCCAAACGCAGTAAACGTAAAAGTCAGGTCGTAGGAGCTGTCTTGTTGATTGACGATGAAGAGCGAAATGAAATGCTTGGTGGGGTGGTAAAAAGCAGCCACGCAATGATGACACCCGCTACTTGAATCAATCTGCAAAGGCAGGCTGTCTCTGGGAGAAGCCTGTGCGAGTTGCTTCAACACATAAAACTTCTTCGTAAGGACAATATCCAGCGGCGGGGCTGTCTCGTTGCTCAACCGATTAAACGGGATCGTAAAAAGACCCCATTTGATCGCATTTACGTTTGTCTCCGATGCGCCGTTGATTGCTTGCCAGTAAATCCAAGCGGATGCCCCCATGATGTTGATGGATTGAATGGCCGATCGAGCCAAGAACAACGCCACGTCAATCTGGCCTCCACCCACCCACATCGGACCCACCTCCGACACCCACACCTCCTTCCCTAACCCAATAGCCATCCTTGCCATACTCACATAGGTTCCCTCAACATACTGCCGAGCATCAGAGGTGTTGGAGGGTGGGGGCACGTACTGGTGCACATTAATCCGTTTCAAGATGGATTTTACCCTCGCGGTAAACTTGTGCCGGAACCTTACTGTAGCCCCGACAAAACTGTCGAAACCCGCCACACCAGTCGGCAGATTCCGCCTTCTAAGAGCCGCTGCCACAGCCCACGTCAGCCTCTCAAGCTGCGCAGGATTGAAGTTACACCCTTCCTGCCGCCCCCCTTTCACCCACCACCCTTCCAGCGCCTCATTCGCCGGATTCATCGTCGAAAAAGTCACGTTCCAATGAGTCCGAAACCTGCCGACCACATCAGCCATATAGCCCGCATAAGCGCCATACGCGTCCGGCCGAAGATTTGTCTCGTCTTTCGCATTCCCAGAGGTATCCCCCGTTATAGTCATCCACCATGGTGGGGAGTAAATAATCGCATCCACCTCATCAACACCCCTCGCTATAGCCCCCTCCAGAACCTTCCGCTGCCGCAAATCTCTCGTCCAATCATACGGCCCGTTTTTCAAGGGTCTATAACCAGGAATTGCCCGGGATTCCCAGTCTGCAGTGTCGAATCGGGGGCTGTTGGTGAGATTGTAGCTGCCACCAATCAGGTAGCGTGCGAGGTTGAGCCCGATCCCAGAGGATGGATCAAAGATTAGGTCGAGGATTTGGTTGAGCTGGTCCGGTGGGAGCTTGCCAATATAGTTGGCGAACCTGAGATAAAGAGGAGGGAATGGGGGAAATACGGGGACGAGTTAGGGGGGAATGGGGGGAGACCGAGGGGGGAGCTTGCCAATGTAGTTGGCAAACCTGAGTTAGGGAGGAGGGAATGGGGGAAAAGGGAGTTGGGGTGGGGCGTGGGGGGGAGAGGGGGGAGGGGGGGGGGTGGGGGAGGGGGGGGGGCAGGTGGCAGAGCCCACTTAAATCAGCAGAATAACAGTGAAAAATTCACCATGCAAGCGACGTGCCCCAGCCTCGCCAACTCTGTCCGTTGAGATCGGGAGCAATGGCGATGGTGGCGGGCCCTGGGAAATAGGTAATTGGAAATGCACCGTGAACAACTCACCATGCAAGCCACGTGCTCCAGCCTTGCCAGGTCTGTCCGTTGAAGGTAGGGAGCAGCGGCGATGGTGGTGGCGGGCCTGGGGAGTCGGTTATTGAAAAAATGCACCGTGAAGAACCGTTCTTCCTGGGTGACTCACCAAGCAAGCGACGTTCAACAGCCTCGCCAGGTCTGCGGGAGCAATGGCGATGGTGGTGGCAGGCCTGGGGAGTAGGTCATTGAAAAGTGCACCGTGCAGAACCGTTCTCGGCAAATGACTCACCATGCAAGCGACGTACCCCAGCCTCGCCAGGTCTGTCCATTCAAATCGGGAGCAATGGCGATGGTGGCGGGGCTTGCCGTTCGGCACACTTGCAAGATCTCGTTCGCCGGCGTCAGACTCGCTACAGGCGCCTCCGTTAAGACTCTCGGCGCGGCGGTGTCTACACCTACACCTCCTCCAAGAGTCTCCCCTTCGGAGCCGCCCGTAACGGCAACACGGGCAGTATTTCGCAACGGATCTGTGCTTTTACGACTTGTTGTAGCTGGATACGCGGTAGAGGAGTCCTCGCTTCGGTTGCCTATGGAGGCTTGCGTTGAAAGAGGGGACGGTTGTGCTGCTGCTGCTGCGGAGGCTGCTGAGGGAGATACGATAGTGTGGAGGAGAAGGAGGAGGAAGAGGTGGGGAAAGATGAGGCAAGAGAGAAGTTGGCGGGGAGGGAAGCAGGGCGAACGGCGCAGATGAGTAGTTGTTGTGGATTTGTAATGAGGTGGTCGCGAGGAAATGTGTAGCGGGGACGGCCTTAAAGCGGACGACATTGCCATGATCAGAGCCACATTC